AGAGAGAGAGAGAGAGAGAGAGAGAGAGAGAGAGGGGAAGAGAGAGAGTTTGTTTCTCTGATTTTTTATTGGGATGATTTGCGAAATACCCCTATAAGTTGAGATATATACCAAAATGCATACCTGGGCCCGTCGATGAGGTTCCCCATCTCCAGCTCCTCCTCTCTTTTGGAAAAAAAGAAAAAAAGAAAAAAACAAAACACCACTACCTTCGAAGCTGGAAGGCAAAGTCGTGAATATAGCCTATAGTACCTATACCGCATCCAGGTCGTCCTGTCTGAGCCTGTCACGCCATTGTCGGCGTTCAACGAGTCCAAGAGTACGGTTCTTTACCTTCTCGCTGGAACATTCACCAATAGAGATATTTTGCAAAGATGACAGATACAACCCAAGGCAGGGGCATTTCCCAAAGTAGTTTTTGTGTCAGAGGGGTATTCTGGTCTACCCAGATCTTTTAGGGACATTTTGGCATATAACTCAACTTATAGGGGCATTTCACAGTAGTATCCCTTTTTACTCCGTCATTGGGTAGGGGGGCAAGGTCCAGAAGGGGCAATGAGTTCCCTCAGTGCCTGAATGCGACCTTGTTTTAGAGTTCCTTCCATTTCCGCAACCACAGATTGCGAAGCTCTCGTAGGCTAGTCGCCGGTCCGCCGCCAACCTGGCTGCGCCCCCACGCCCGAGCGTGGTATCAGTCCAGACCGCTGCTGGAGGTGGAACTCAGAATCTCAGAGATCAATGATGAGACTCATAAGTGGTACCAGGGGCGTGGTCCCACTAGCAAAGAGGATCGGATCGAACGCCTGAATCTGGACGTGTTTGTAGAGAGGTGCATGAAATCGAGATTGAACTGCTTGTCTGCATCTCTGCATAAAACACATCCAGATTCAGGCATTAGATCCGATCCTCTTTGCTAGTGGGACCTCGGCCCAGACGTGGGACTCTGAAAAGCATTCCGAGCGCCGGTCAACGGTTATCGCCCTTCAGAAAAAAAAAAAAAAAAAACGGGACAGGGAAAAAAAAAAAAAAACGGGACAGGGGGGAAAAAAAAAGGGGACAGGAGTATCGCTTTTGAGACGGAATCGCGTGTGACAAGCGGGTTGAGGAAGGCGCCATGGCCAGTGGTATGGCGTGAAGCCGAATGCAAGCGGCGGGTGTAGGGGCGCGCCATGAGAAGGCCTATGATGTGATGAGCGCACCAGATCTCGGAAGGGATAGCGAGCGAGCGAGTACGTGGGTGTGTGACTCTGTTGCCATGTCCATTGTCCTCACTCATGCAGAAGGGAATCACAACTGTGGCAGAGTGTTTCGTTGACAATGTGAGTCACAACAGTGACTGCATGCTCGCACGACGACTCACCCTTGAGGTTTGTGACCCGGACTATGGACAGAATCACTCGGAAAGTACTCGTGTCAATATCCCCTGAGACTGTGCGCTTGTGTCTGCGTGTGTGCGTGTGAGAGAGGCAGAGAGATAAATAGATAGACACATACATAGACAAAGGCACTCACAGAGAGAGAGAGAGAGAGAGAGAGAGAGAGAGAGAGAGAGAGAGAGAGAGAGAGAGGGAGAGAGAGAGAGAGAGAGA